GTGGACGAGCTCACAGCCCACCTGGTGTTAAGTGGTTACTGGAGCCCATAGACATCTACAACGTAAATGCGCCACACACCTTGAGATATAGTTCTAAGGTCTCAGTATAGTCACAACGGCTGCCCCACCCTTCAAACCGAAACGCATTACTGCTTCACGGCAGAAATAGGCGGGGCGGTGGTACCTACCCGTGCGGACTCACAAGAGGTCCTACCACCAGTAAATGGCGATGGGCGACAGCATTAATGTTATGCTGTCTACTAGTTCCGGTAAGCACTTAGCATCAGTTGGGCCTTAAGGTCTGTCCTTCAAGAGCCATATAAACATTTTATTAGAATCGAACTATACGTTTTTTTAATGCGACATCGTTTCAGTACACGATACTAAATACAAGACAGAAATTTGAAATTAATTGTACTATTTGGTCGTGCGCGATAGTAACAAAAGATGACTGGATTATCTCATACAACTCAATATAACTATATTTATGGAATGTATGGTACAAAATATTGAGCGAAACCTCCAGATAGACACAGAGCTTTCAGACTTCGTAAAGATTATCCGAAAAGTTACTTAATACTCTAAACTATAAGTTTCTGCTTCGTAATATTTCTTCTAATGTGATGTAACAATAGAGTCACCTTTCTGTGGATAGTATATTAAACATTTAAAAACAGTCGTTTTTTTTCTAAAAATGGTCACCATTAAAAGTCCCGTAAGATAAAATGAAGTCATGAAAATATCTGTCGTATATTTTGCTCTTCATTAGTGCCCGACCGCGTAGAGCCCTCCGTTTAAAAAAGCTTCAAAGAATAAGCTTGTTCATTGCCAGCCTCATTAGGTAGTTAATTTCAGTTCCCGGATAAAATGTATTTTCGATTTGTTTCCATATTGTAATAGCACATTAATATGAAGTAATAATAAATTATGCAATCAATTCTAACAATGAACGTAAAACTAAAAAACTTAATAAACAATAATAATAATTTTTTTTGCTTAGATGGGTGGACGAGCTCACACACCACCTGGTGTTAAGTGGTTACTGGAGCCCATAGACATTTACAACGTAAATGCGTCATCCACCTTGAGATATAAGTTCTAAGATCTCAGTATAGTTACAACGGCTGCCCTACCCTTCAAACCGAAACGCATTACTGCTTCACGGCAGAAATAGGCAGGGCGGTGGTACCTACCCGTGCGGACTCATAAGAGGTCCTACCACCAGTAAAGATAAAATAATAATAATTTAATAACTAAAATATATTATTATTAAAATGAGTCCCTTTAGGCAAGGTTCCGAAGATACTGGCAGCGTTCCCCCTTTGAATAGCTAAGACTAATTCTCTGTCTAGCTTTATCTTTTTTCTTTTTCTTTTTTTATTATTATTTTTCTTCGGTCTCCTGTGATGTCGACTAACCTTTTTGCTATTTCCTTAAAAAGCCTTATAGCGCTAGGACCCCACGGAAAAATAAAATAATTATCTAATGTGGTTTAATATAGTGAATAGATAGATTAATTTGGCTTTTTACGTACAGGTTATTAAAGTTGGGAAAAGAAAACATTGAAATCTTTGCAAGAATATTTTTATTTGCTTTATAACTTTAAACAAAAGAGGCCATTGTCGTCGGGTTCTTCCATTTTATATTTTTTGTTTTATTATGCTCCATTAAAAAAATACACTACATTTAGTTAAGTATATCGGAATCCATTTGACAAGGCATTGTGTCATTTTACAATACATTTATTTATTAGGTATTGAACTAATGTCAAGAATTACATTACTCTTGTTTTTACAGTCGTGTGTACTTTTAAAGTTTCACAGATCCATACAGAATTCAAATTTTTTTTTTCGTTCTAAGCCAGCTAGCTATAGGTTAATTATGATACAATGTGTTTTGTTGGTACACCTACAAAAATCTATGTATTCTAATAAATAGTAATAGTAAAGAAGCATTAACATAAACTGTGTTGAAAACAATCCTAATTCGTAAAGTAGAAAGAGGTAAACAACCTTACCGAAATAATTTAAAAATATATATAATAGTTAAAATCTGTTTGTAAATTACGCACGGCTAGCACAAATGTATGAAAACAGTCAATTAAACAAACGAAATTATAATTCACAACAGAACACTGCTTCAACTGAACGTCCTTAACCTCACTTAAAGTTGGCAATGAAACGACATCATTAAATTTTTCCTTTCACAGATCCGGCTAGGTCTAATTATGTAGGTGTTTGTCGAGATATTTAAGCGCGTCCAACTTTGTATGAAGTTTACTTGGAGCCTCGAACAACGTAAACAATCCCTTTGCGAGCCCTCGGACAAACATCAAAGGACTCCTTCGGACGATGCTCCGCAAAGTTATTCTTTGCTTTCATCTTGAATCGCACCAGAGAAACACTTCATGCTATTGTGACGCATTAAATATATTATTATAATAATCTAGAATTCGCAACGAATCATATATTACGTGGTGAGTATAATTTCAATTTAGTTTAACAGATTTACCTTCAAGAATTAATCGAACTGAAATTATTTTGTTATTGAGTGTAAAATTTAAAGGGTGCGCATCACTCTTTTTATCTTTATAAGTAACCTTGTATCGAAATCTTTAGATTGAACATCTTAGTCTAGAAAATCTAGAAAATAGTAAATTTTTAACATCAGTTCAATATTACATAATATTAAAAATACTTTTACGGTTTTCATTGTATTCCATTAGGTTTTGGCATTACGTTCAAACGACGACGAATGAATACCAGCTTACCGACGAATCAAGCGTAGGTAACGGTAAAATCAAAACATTTGACCGTAAGAGTAGTTTTAATTAGATCTTAGACTCGTGAAAGTCGAAGAAAATCGTATAGTACGTAATAAAATACGGGCTTAAGCTTCGGCCGTGGCTTGCGATTGAGCAGTACCGACGCTCGTTGTTGTGGAGACAGCGTCGGGATCCGATTCGCGAACGCCCAACCATGGGAGACGTTTTGTGAGCTCGGCCCTGTCAGAAAAAAGCAATAGGTACATAGGTATATACTAGTGGTAGGACGTCTTGTGAGTCTGACTATTTGATCTGACTATTTCTGCCGTGAAGCAGTAATGCGTTTCGGTTTGAAGCGTGGTGCAGCCGTTGTACTGTTAATACTTAGAACTCATGTCTCAATGTCTATGGGCTCCGGTAACCATTTAACACCAGGTGTGCCGTGAGCTCGCCCACCAATCGAAGTAATAAAAAAAGAAGGTATTATTAGCTCAAAAATTAGAACGATTAAAAGGGGGTATTTGTTTTCTTCCATTCATTAACAGATGATAATACCACATGGTAGTTAGTGGTTATCGTTGCTTATGGATGTCAGTAATGCCTGGTTGAGGACTCTCCTCAAATCTCATTTCAGGACGGAAGTAGTCTATTAAAAATGAATATTTAGTGGCTTCCGTTTTTCTTCTCAAGCCACTACTCCTACCCTCCAACTGTACCTACTTTATCTTCCTACTTAGCCTCCTTCCTAATTACTATTTTGAAGTGTTCTGTAGGTTGGATGGGTGTTGTGAATCCGTATGGTTCATAGCACCTGTACTATTTCTGCCGCAAACTAATAAGCTAACTTGATTGATAGGCTAGCCGTAATCCTAACTAGGACTTCGCTCCTCAAGGCATTTACGGTGATCAGCTCATCTTCTCATCTAATTAAGGTGTATAATAGTATACTGAAAAAGCATAGCTTAATGTAAAATACCAAAATAAATAGTTGACTCATAATGAATGTATAAAAACCTGTATCTTGGATGGTTAATGGCGTAAACCCATGGATCTATGCAAGACACCACCTTACAGCATACCGCTGGTACCATTGTGGCTATGGGCGTCAGTAAATTCCTGAAAATAATTCATATATTTAGATCTCATGCAAATAAATAAATGGTAGGCAGCGGCTTGGCTATGGTAGGCAGCGGCTTGGCTCTACCCCTGGTATTGCTGACGTCCATGAGCGACCGTGACCGCTTACCACCAGGTGGGCCGTATGCTCGTCTGCCTATAAAGGCAATAAAAAAAATACACCTGAGTTTCGTTTAATTTTTAAGTTTTTTTATTATTGCTCTCATTTCTTATTAGCCGAATTGAATGTACTTATAAAATTTTAATGATGGCGAGCCGTACTCTGAGCTCGCTTCTATAGGATCCAACGTTCTGTACATTTGGGACGAAGCAGTAATGCGTTTCAGTTGGAAGCGTGCGACAGGCGACAGCCGTATTTTTTTATTGCTTAGATGACTTACGGCCCATGTGGTTTTATGTGGTATTGGAGCCCATAGACGTAAAGAAACGCAAATGCTGCCACACACCTTGAATAATAAGTCTTAATTCTATAGTACAACGACTGCCCCACCTTTGAAACCGGAATGCATTACTGCATCGCGACAGAAAATGGCTGGATGTTTATACATTCCCTTGGGGTACAATCACCAGTAAATACGTAAAATATACTTTTAGCGGGATTGATTTGTATTAGACGATGTTCTTCCGTCATTGTAGAAGCCATTCGACAATATGTGATAAGTACGTATTTCATTAGAAAAAAATGTGCCTGATTATTAGGATAGGAACAAAGGCACAATCGTACGATACGAGAACACCGGGCGTCTTATCCTTAAGGACCTGTGCACACCACAATTTATAATCGCGCCGTCGACGCGCGTTTCTAAAACGTTTTTCGACGATTTCAACGACGACTCTTTTAAAACGATTCAAACGCGTATTTGAATTTATATAGGCGTGCAAATGGCTGCTTCTGACTTGCGTGCTTATCGCGTCTGTGTCGCTACAAACGCGCGTCGAGGGCGCGTTTAAAAAACGTCGTGTGCACAGGCCCTTAACTACGGAAACGTTATATCAAGTAATTAAGACTTCGATCTGATGTAGCCACTTAAAGTTGCATGAATTAACACACTCAACTCTCGACTTACCGCAATGGAAAGTTCAATTAATCCAATGCAGATTTTAAACAAACAGCTTATTTAAAATGCAATTTGAACTATTCAGTTTAATAAAAAATAAATAAATATAAGACCATATATATATACGGACCTGTCTCCAAACGCCCCGGTCATAGTGACGAATGCATAAGGTGTCCACGCACAAACAAATAGGAAGAATATGGTGAAGGCGACCTTAGCTATTCTGATCTCCACACTCCTGCTGGCGTCTTCTTTATTTGCCGCCAATGACTTCACGTTCATCTTTTTGGCCTGCTCTTGTAGCATGCGTTCATGTAGACGAACCTAACGAAACAATAACGCGCAATCATTATTATTCTTATTGTGTAAATGTAACAAAATCAAAATGTTTTTGATTTTGTTACAATGCTTTCACAATACAAGCAGTGCGATTATGGAATTCTCTCCCTCAACCTATTCGTGCTAGTTCCTCTTTAAAAGTTTTTAAGAGTCAAATGAAGAAACATTTCCTGTCACTTTAATTGTATTTAAGTTATTGTTTTATGTATGTTTATTTATATGTATTTTTCATTTTATATTAGATTTTTTTAAAGCTTTGTTTGAAAATCATGCTTTAACAGCTTTTATGTTGTACACTATTCCCCTCTTATAAATCGTATTTCTCTCTGCTAATGGTTTGCTGGAAGAAAACTCATGAATGAGTTAAGCTCGAATTTGTACATAGTATTTAGACATTCTTTAAATCTGTTTTTATTGTATTTTCTTTTTGTGTACAATAAGTATAAAATAAAATAAATACAATAATGGTTCAGTTCGCTCGTACTGAAAATAAAATTACAGATTGGTTCTGTTGCGCAACAGTGACGCGTCGCGGCTTTTTCGATCATATCTTCTCGTGAAATTAGAGTTACGCTACTCGTGACGTTTTGTCTAAAACTTCCGATTGTCGGTACCACTAAATTGTCAAACTCCACTTAAAGACAGCTGCACTGATCACACAACTGAAGCATTAGCTAGAATATGTGTTTTAAATTTAATAGTAAAAATAACTATATCATATCGTTTTTTTTTTTATTGCGTAATTGGGTGGACGAGCTTACAGCCCACCTGGTGTTAAGTGGTTACCGGAACCCATAGACATCTACAACGTAAATACGCCACCCACCTTGAGATATATAGGTTCTAAGGCCTTTAGTATAGTTACAGCCGCTGCCCCAGCCTTCAAACCGAAACCCATTATTGCTTCACGGCAGAACGGACTCACAAGACGTCCTACCACTAGTGTCTACCTATATACCTATTGCTTTTTTCTGACAGGGCCGAGCTCACAAAACGTCTCCCATGGTTGGGCGTTCGCGAATCGGATCCCGACGCTGTCTCCACAACAAGTCTTAAGTATAGTTACAGCCGCTGCCCCAGCCTTCAAACCGAAACGCATTACTGCTTCACGGCAGAAATAGGCAGGGTGTTGGTAACTACATGCGCGGACTCGCAAGAGGCCCTACCACCAGTAATTGCGTTCGATTAAACCAATCACCGATTGCCTTGATTATTGAGGCCGTAACTCGCTTGTGTTTACAATTTAAAAACACCACTCTATATCGCAGAAAAACAAACAAACAACAACACCGTTTCAGCTCAAATTCTCTTTGATGTATACGAAACAAATTAATTTCGTTCGAAAGGTTTTATTCAAAGAGGTGGAATGATATTAAACAACCGATTGTTTGATGAAATTTGTTAAAATTTTACCCGAATCCTGATATTGTGGTCTTTATCGGAGAGGTTCAGTTTTAATTTTTATGAATTTTGAATTCAAAGTCATAAATATTGAATTTGAGACGTAAGTTTTGTTATAAATTTCAGAAGACGCACTGCGTAACTCAAATATGATTTTTTTGAACAGCCGAACATAAAACCTATTATCTTCTAAGGATTTTGTCAGACGTGCATATGTGATTTTTCTATAAATTGGAGGGAATGCTCAAAAATAGCTCTATAAATATATTTTTAAAGTCAGAACTGTATTGTATACAGGGTGTCCCGTCCTTCAATCCGGTATGCATGTCTGTAGCAACGCAGACAGGCAGGAATGTGGTACCTACATTTGTGGGCTTACAATACGCCTTATCACCAATATAAGTCAGTTGGCGACTGCAGTACGCTGCCATAATACTCACAACACGCTAATGCCTATTCTCCGGTGAACCCTTTAGTAGCTTTTACGACACTCACGCGATAAAAATTAGGTGGTTAAATTCAAAGCCGAACGGTTGATAGAAATGCACAATATTACAATAGTATCGATAAATTTTTTTTCTGTACTACGTAAAGTCACTGAAGGTGTAGCTTGTGACTTATTAAAAGATTCTAAGGCCCCATCACAGCCATCGACAAAATATCGGGATTTTGTGCATTCAAACGCAAATGAGTAGATTCTCACAACGCCCGCTTGGTAAAGTTCGGATTTTCCACGCTTAAATGGACCGGAGAGAAATTATATTAAGAGAAAATTCTAGAAGGTTTTATTATTTCGAATGTTTTCTTTCTATTCAGAAACTTGTGCGAGTCTTGTGAATTTCTCGTATTGATGTTGAATTGTGAAAAAGCTGAGCTGTAGAAATAAAATCTAGTACATATTCCCTTTGATTTTTGAGAAGCATAGACATAGTTAAGACTACTATTACCTTTTAATCCCATGTTTATAATTTTAGTTTTATAAGACGGACGGTGATCAGGAAAACTGTAAATTATTCGAAACAGTGGAAATACAAATCAATGTATATTTGTTTGTCCTTTATGCTTTCCTGAACCATTCATCCGATTGAGTTGAAACTTTGTACAGCTCCTATTGACATTTTGCGGAAGCTGTCTGTAATTGAAGTTCGATATGTGGCGCGTTCGTTTCTATTATCGGGTATACAGCATATAAGTTTATATCAGGATTAATTAGTTTACTATCAAACTCTTTTTTAAAATTTTGTTGAATTTGTTTGATGCAATTTGAAGATCAATACAATTTGTCTTTGTGTTTATTGGTTCCAGTATTACCTGAATATTACTCCACTGATCTTGATGATTTAGTTGTGTTCGAAAATTTACGAATATTGTATTTAATAATAGTCAGTATTCTTATGTTAATTGAATTGTAAAAAAAATGTTTTTTTTTTATGATTGAAAGATTGCTGGTGGCCCGGAGGCCTTTCCAGCTTCACCAGGACAGGTGGGCGAGCAAAGGCTCAGCCAAGAGGGGTGGGATTTGCTAACAACTGCCCGAGCGCCTCCGAAGGAGACTTAACAAAAAGTCAGTCGTGGCCGAGCGCTTAAGGCGTCTGACTAGAAAAAAAAAAGTCTACGACTCACGAAGACCGAAGAAAATACGGTCATATATTAAATTTGTTCGCATGGTTTTGGAAGAATTATTCGGAAACAAAGGTAACCGTCCATTAATTCTTGAAAATATGTCTAATTAATAAATTATTTCGAATCCGTTTTTTCTAATACGCTTATACTTGGAGACATGACACAATTTTGCCATGATTGTCTTATCATTTACATTTCCGATCATGTTATGAAATATTTAATTATCACCGGCATACAGACGTCAAATATTGGAGACAGATCGCCAGTAAAGCATTTAAATAAATATTAAAATGTTATTTCAACGTGAGTAATAAATAATTCGTAAAAACCATAGTGTTAATCTATAATTGATAATAGATGAAACAGCAGCCGTAAGTTAGTTTACCAACGCCACGAAGCCAAACTTTGTTTAATGAATTAAGAAGCAACTAATCCGCTTTAAAAGGTGGAAAGACGTGCTGTTTTACAAGAAGATTATCTGAAGAATCTTTAGCGTTGGTTAATTTTATAGGGCTAAAAAGTAATTTACATAATTCTATTAATGAAATACTACGTAACTTTGCGACAAGCAAACTTCCTACTTGCTTTACGAATTTATCACGAAACAATTTGCTTGGAGCGTAACTTTCAACTAGAACGATTTTTTTGGTCATTTGAATTCCATGATTTCTAGGTTGAAATTTTAATGATTAAGTCTCATTTTTGTGGTGATTTTCTGGTTATGAACCAAATTTTAATTTACAAAAAGTGTTAAAGCTAAAATGTTAGATACATTCTAAAACTATTTGTGAGTTTAGCTAAGTATATTTTATTGATTTCATATCACAGGATCGAGTGTGACTATAATATTTAATATTTATTCATAATCTATCGCTATCTCGTCCTTCAAACCGAATTACTGCTTCACGGTAGAAATAGGCAGGGCGGTGGTACCTACCCGTGCGGGCTATCATAAAAGAGGAAATAATTAATTTTAGATCTGTAACACTGATTCGCTACACGAAGTATAATCTATTCGTAAATGAGTCCGTTGCGCGTGTATTAATTTATAAAAACCAGGCACATGTTAAAAAATGATTGCACAGTAAATTTGCATTTATTTGGTATTGCAGGTCCGGTACGGAGGACAAAAAGTCATGTCAAAGAAAGAGGAATCCAAAAACACACTTATTTACAAATTGTATCAAAAAAAAACGGAAGCTATTAATAATATAATGCGACAGTTAACACCTCTGAGTGTACAGCGTCAGGTGGGAGCTCCTAACGAATTAAATAGGTCGGAACTGGCCCTTTCGCTTCTACGAGCATTGTCGAATGAAACCTTTACCTATAGTTGGCACACGGAAGGGGATTGGAACTTATTCAATAGCAAAACTAATGGAATGGGTAAAATTCCAACATTAACTTTATGTTTGCGGGAAATGTGAATTGTGTGAAGAAAACGTATATTCTGTGTATTTCGAATATTGGGTTTGCTTGATTTTGAATAAAGGTATTTTTTTTTGCATAGATGGGTGAATTAGCTTACGCCCCACCGGGTCTTAAGTGGTTAATAGGAATAAAGGGTTCACCGGAGAATAACCAGAAGCGGTCTCGGGTACCAAATTACTACGATTGTCCACTAGTATTAAATGGCACTGGCAATGGCAGTGGCACTGGCAATGGCAATGGCGTATTCTAAGCTCGCACGATTAGGTATCGACATTCTATTTCTACCACGAAGCAGTCTTGCGTTGCTGCTCGAAGAAGGGACTGCTATTATTATTATTTAATTTTTATTGCCCTTGTAGGCAGACGAGCATACGGCCCACATGATGGTGAGTGGTTACCGTCGCCCATGGACTTCAGCAATGCCAGGGGCAGAGTCAAGCCGCTGCCTACCGAGCCAAGCCGCTGCCTAGCCAAGCCAGCTCCTATTATAGATTATAACAGAGATTTCTCAAAATTGATGTCAGTATTCACGTTGTGACGTCCATGGGCTCTAATAACCACTTATATTTCTCCTTACCTAATCGTTATCGTAGCTTAAGGGGCTATACCAACTTCACGCCGACCGGTAACCACTTAATGTCAGATCTTTCATTAATCTGTGCACTAAAAAAATTTATGTTCCATGTTATACTTTTTAAGATTCACCTATGCGCTTACTATGAAATATATTACGTATCACAGTTCAAAATATTGTATATCATAATTAACATTATATATAACTAGCTGTATTGGCCCGCTTCGCTGCGCATTTAAAATTAACATCATTATTTATTCTCATTATTATTAGGGAGTCCAACACTCATATAAATATTAGCCTATCCATTAAGTATTTATGTATTTTCTACATGGATACCAAGTTTCAAGTCAATCAGGTGCATGGTTCAGTAAAAACCACTGTAGATTTATATATTAATATAGTATATAGTATAGATGATGAACGAAGTTGTATATAAATACGATGAACATTAATTTGAATTTAGATTTCTCGTGGGTAGACTGTTTTACTTACAGCGCCGAAGAGCTGTGAATAGAAATAACATATGAGCGTCATCGGGATGCAGTAGCTCCACACGAAGATGCAGGCAACGAACACTTTCGTGTCCTGGTCATCAGTGAAGTAATCGAACGAGCATGTAGTCAAGAATCCCTCTGTAACGAATGTACATTAAAGTTACTTTTACCTAATTTGAATCATAGTTAATTTTAGCGACCCGCCCTCGCTTTGCTTCGGAAGCATTACATTTTATTATTGATAGCTGAGTCCCGCAACGTTACCCGCGGTTATTGTCGTACCGCGGATGACGCCGCGGGGCCAAGCTAGTCTAAAAAAGGAATTGTTGGACTCGCGTTTTTTTTTATATACATATTTTTTTTATTGATTAGATGGGTGGATGAGCTCACAGCCCACCCGGTTTTAAGTAGTTACTTGAGCCCATAGGCAACTTCAACGTTAATGCTGCCACCTGCCTTGAGATATGAGTTCTAAAGTCTCAGTATAGTTAGAACGGCTGCCCCACCCTTCAAATCGAAACCCATTACTGCTTCACTGCAGAAATGCAGAAATAGGCAGGGTGGTGGTACGTACCCGTGCAGACTCACAAAAGGTCCTACCACCAGTGATTCCAAGTAAATAAAGAGACTTATGTACATAGTATATAATGATTATTTAGTATATTAAGCGGTAGGCAGCGGCTTGGCTCTGCCCCTCCTGGCATTGCTGAAGTCTATGGGCGATGGTAACCACTCACCATCAGGTGGGCCGTATGCACGTCTGCGTACAAGGGCAATAAAAAACAAAAAACACCACTACAATTACCACAACTAAGGCCCCTAGGTGCCCGCTAGCCGCCAGCTTTAAAAGATTACTTCAAACTCTATAACTGTAAGAGCTTTTAAGTTTTTATGTAAACCTTATATTTAAGTATATAAGAAAATTATAATTAGCATGCCACTGAGAAAATGATAAAGTTCAGTTAAGAGCATTATAAAGTCGCGTTGGACGGTATTCTCCCTTGGGGCTTAAGACGGACTGGACATTTAAGCCAATTCTTTGTAAGATAATCTAACCGTCAGATCTCATTAAATTTTAAACCTAAGACCTAATGATGTCTAAATTGATTTAGAGCTTGGTAATACGTAAATAGAATTTAAGATTTTTACGCCTTTTTCTCAACGTCTTGCTTGACTTTCAGTATTAATGACATGCAACAACTATCACTAATGATTTTTTTTTGTTTTTCACTGCTGAAAACCGCCCACGCTCCATCTCTATCTCATCTCTTGTATTCATTGATTCTCTAGATGTGGTAGATGGCGGTGAGTGCAATCAGGTGCAAATATACCACCCAAAAATTACGTTAATTTTGCTATTTTCTTTTTGTCTTCAATAAGATCCACGTGATACACACAAAAATGCTAATGTTAATGCTAATTCAAACAAACTTTGTCCTTTTTTCATTTTCATTTCCTGCTATCATGTTATTGAAACCTTGATAAGACGATTTGCACCCGCTGTCGCCGCCATAATTCCTGGTAACTGCATTATTAAGCCGATACAATTCATAAATAAATTGTTCGTATCCGTTGCGAAAGGGATATTGTGTTATGAATTAAGGTCATAATTTGATTGGTTAAAGCATGTTCAGTATGTTTTACCGGTGGTGAGAAATGTTTTCAGTTAGTTCGAATAATATATTTATAATATTTCGTATGCTATATTATATGTTATATTTTTTATATTATTTAGTTGCGGTAAGCAATTCCAATACTATTGTCTTCTTTTTCGAGAATTTAGCGTTCATCTTATTCTAGAAAATTTATTTCTGACATAACTGCTCTTCGTCATTACTCGGCGAAGTGGTATTATTTTCTGTGTTTCTTAAGGTACTAATAATATATTAAATATATATAATATATTAAAATATTTAATTAAAACCACTTTTACCGTTTAATCTGGTAATTATTAATTTATAATTTAATTTTATTATTTATAATCGTCCGTGATCACGGAAATTGTAAAACATTCGACGCGTCGGAATTGATACAGTGAAACTACGCGGTATTGAACAGTAAAGACGGAAAACAAAAAAAATATATATTACTTACCCGGAACATATCGTCCCCATATCCTGAAAGCTGGTAGAATGGTGAATGGTAAGGCCCAGAACCACGTGAAGGCTATAAGAAGAGATGCTTGCACCTTATTGATTCTACCGTCCAATGGACAGGAGATAGTCCTGATAGCAAATTAAGCATATTAATTATTTGCATGTGCGTAGTTTCTAAATAATGCGAAAAAAATGCTTTCATTCTGCAAGCTAAAAGAAAAATTAAAGGATTGTCCAATGAGGTTTAATATTCATTTGACAATGACTTTTTCGATTATAGCTTTATTATAAACACATCCAAAATGCATTTACAAAAAATGTTATTTTCATGCGCAAAAACTATGTGAAATGTGGCATCAATACCTACATAAAAAATACACAATAAAGAATGTTAGAATCTGAGAGTAATTTAATAACAAATAATTTCAAAAGAGATACAAATAATTGTAAATAGACATGCTTTAACAAAAACCGACATCAAATAGAAAAAAAAGATATTCCAAAAAAATAATAATATACACTCATCACTCACAATCACACATCAGAACTGGACTAAATTGACAATGGGACCACACGGGAAGCGTCAGCTTTCTAATAAAAAAAGAATCATCAAAATCGATTCACCCAGTCAAAAGTTATGAGGTAACAAACATAAAAAAAAACATACAGTCGAATTGAAAATCTCCTCCTTTTTTGAAGTCAGTTAAAAAGTAGGTATAAAGCAAGTATGTTTATCACTGAGAGATCTAATAAGCCTTTGAACGATACTAACTTGTATCTATCGAATGCGATAACGGCATTTGTGATCGCCCCTCCGATTCCAGACAGGGAACCTAAAACGGCGTATATGTCACAGCCCAACTGGTATCCCACGAGACGCTGGTAGAATGAATTGATGATCAGCAGAGGCATCTCCAGCATCATCATCAGATCGAATATAGCCAAGTTAATCACAAACATGTTGCTCGCGCTGCGTAGAGATTTTGAACTGAAAAAAATAATTGTATGAACTTCGCATTAGCGCAGATGGAAGCGATCCACGGTATGACAATTAATGAACCCACAGACATATAACGTTAATGCAACTATCTATCCTAAATATGGGGCTGAAACATCGATATTGGGCTGAAATCTCAAAATACATTGAAATAACGATATAACTCCAAAACGGGTTTCATTTTCGGCAAACAGATATGTATTCGCCATATTTTTTGTTTTTTATTGCTTAGATGGTTGGACGAGCTCACAGTCCACCTGGTGTTAAGTGGTTACTGGAGCCCATAGACATTTACAACGTAAATGCGCCACCCATCTTGAGATATAAGTTCTAAGGTCTCAAGTATAGTTACAACGGCTGCCCCACCCTTCAAACCCAAACGCATTACTGCTTCACGGCAGAAATAGGCAGGGTGGTGGTACCCATCCGCGCGGACTCAGAAGAGGTCTTACCACCAGTAATTATGTTTGATTGATGTATATGTTTGATTGTATCAAATTACAACCTTACAATTCCATAGAGCGCTTTGTACTATGTATGAGACCGAAGGGAAAACAGTTGTTAGCCAGATTAACAAGGTGAAGATACCTATTGTCGTGGTATCCGAAAAGATAAGGCGGCCAGTATACACGTACTTCAAGGAATCCGACTATGCCGATGTTCGAAACCCGCAGACGGGTACAAATTTTTGTTAGACTTGAATGACTTCCAAGATAAAGAAATAACATAGGTAATAAATAATAAATATCAGCCCAGTTTATTTTATAAATTTGGTGAATTTTATTGATTTAGTATTTTCTTTGTTTTTCGCGAATTACAGACACAATGAAAACTAATTTTATTGTTTATTCTCACATTTATTAATGTCATTACATTATCTCTGACGTTTCGAATAATTGCAGTTTTCGTGTTCACGGCCAACTAAAGCCTATATTTTTTTCGCCGACATTTGCAATTAATTAGATTGAATGAAAATAATCTCTGTATATAAAAATGAATGGCTGTTCGTTAGTCTCGCTAAAACTCGAGAACGGCTGGACCGATTTGGCTAATTTTGGTCTTGAATTATTTGTGGAAGTCCAGAGAAGGTTTAAAAGGTAGATAAATATGAAAATGCTCGGAATTAAATAAAATAACAATTTTGTCATCCCTTTGATGTGTGTCCCGTCGGACGGATTCCTTAATTTGTTTGTCGTGTATTTATCGATTGAGGCACTACGAAGTCTGCCGGGTCATCTAGTAATGACAATAAAAAACGTGCGAGATTAAACTGTAAATGTAATTTTAATTATAATTATTGTTGGTTAAGTGTGTTTTCCGTCCACATGGAAGGTTTTCAGTATCCTATTTGTATCGCTAAGGAGCACCCCTGATTAGTTACACAACGTATTCAACAATAAATAATGCTGTAAAAATATTTCACAAATCAGATTTATCAGTTTAGTTCTCTCAAAAGCGATATCGAAGAAAACCTGAATTAGTTCGATGCTCGTCACAAATATACTAATTAATAAAAAATATGCAAATAAAGAATTAAATTGACAAGCATTTGGTTAGTAAAAAAGTTTTGTTCGCGAAATTTCTTCGAGCCTTCGGAGTTTTATTCACTCGAACATACAGTTCCAAACTGAAGCGTCACCGAAATTGTGAAGTTTTATAATGTAACTCGCAGAAATACGTTTCCGTTTTACATGTTAAGGGAATGACGAGGGAGGGACATGGGAATTCACTCCATACTTCGACATATTTAATACTAGTATGCATGCGTGTGTGCGTCAAATACATGGTATGTAGTGTGTGTAATGTTTTCTTTATTGATTTAATGTATCTTTTATGCATTATTTAGAAAAATATTAGCATTATGCACTTGTTCTCTATATTCTCTATAAGTGTGGAAAATTTCATACTCCTCCGTCCGCGTAATTTTCGTAAAAAGGGATACAAAGTTTTTGCTTCACGTATTAATATATAGATAACAGTTTCGTGAGTTTTCCAATTAATGCACTACGTAGTTCGACGATACTCGCTTTTATTATATACAGTCTGCGTCAGATTAGTTGTAGTTTGCAAACTAAGTTGGTAAAGAAATACCTACTAACTAACGAGTCTAAAAATGTGTGTGGTTTTACGTGTGTGCAATGGTTTGGTATTTTAAATCAAAATTAATTCATTTCTATGCAATGAGGACTTTTTACCCCATTTTATCTTATAATATATACTAACTTTCTGATGAACGAGGGACTTCAATCACAGAAAATAGATGATAAGCAGATGACAATGCAAAGAAAAATGAATTTTAAACATGTTGGTTCTATTTAAATCAGGGTATTCTATTCTACTTATTCCAATTATTATTATCTTGTTCATATTTGTTTATGTATGTGTGTATATCTATATCCCAATCGATAGGTACACTGCGTGTAGTTTTGTTTCCTAATGATTCTTGTCCATCTGATGGTTGTCTGGACGAGATCGTATTTAGCCATAAGACCGCCAATTGTACTTTTTTGTATGTTTTTTGTATTTAATGTTTCGCATTATTTATTTATTTTGTGTACAATAAAACATACTCTCTCTCTCTCTCTCGCTCTCTCTTATTTTTATAGAAGTAATCAACGAAAATATATATCATTTTATTTAGACCTGCGTTGCATTGAGATTTTATCATCATTAAGCTTTGCGTCATACCAGATTCTGTGAGCAAACACAAAAGCTCCACGGTCTCCTTTAAAATGAATTTATTTATATAAGCGTTACAACTTGAAAAGGCTCGCTCACTCAGAACTAATACTAACCCGCTCGTGGCACAGATATCGCGAACAAAACGTCCGAGATAAATAAAATCCCAACAGAAATGTAGAAATGGTGAACATCGGAAAGTTTTTCCGAAGTGTCGGGCGACGCCGCGGGCCGCCGGGTGGTTTTAGAACTTTGCTCGCGCCTCTCTCGCATACCCGACAACGATCTTAAGCGACAAGAATTCTCATTGTGATTTCTTAAAATCGGTAAGTATTTTTAATAAGTGTTCGAAAAGTTCAACTGAAATGAATACTTCGCGTAATAATGAATTTTCGAACTACGGTAAGATCAGTGTGCTTAGTGCGAGTTTTTTAACGTTCTCGATAGCGTAAAAGTTAGCTCATATTTTTGTATGGAATCGTTTGCCTACGTTTTCCACCCTGACTATTTCTGCCGTAAAGCAATAATGCGTTTTGGGTTTGAAGGGTGGGGCAGCCGTTGTAACTATACTGAGATCTTAAAACTTATATCTCAAGGTGGGTAGCGCATTTACGTTGTAGATGTCTATGGGCTCCTGTAACCACTTAACACCAGGTGGGCTGTGAGCTCGTCCACCCATCTAAGCAATAAAAAAAATAATGAAAAAAGCGTGGGGTGCATGGTATCAGTAGTTATAAATATTTTATGAACAGATATGAGTAGAAGGGTTATTTTGGTAATATCCTGAAAAGCACCCCACGCTTTTTTATTTTTTAGTTGGTATTTCTATAAAAGCGTATTTTGTTAGTTTTTTTAAAACTATTATTTTTTTTGATCATTATTAATCAGGCTTGCGGTCTATTACATTTTATACCTACTGTAATTTATTATTTTAACGTCATACGAATATAACGATATTTATCTTGGTGCCCTATTCTCTATTTACCGAAGAGAAACAAAATGGGTTACGCTTCAAATAGCGAGTTTTAAGTTAATTGTGAACTTGTTTGTCACGTCGAGGGCTTCCGCCACCCGGGCCTGGCATCTCGGTACGTTTAGAAACTTAATTAAATCACCGACGACGACTGACGGCAGTCAAGAGCACTCGATCCGATCGTCAAATTGTTCCACGTTATTAACTCAGACGTGGTTTGAACATTTCATTTAGGAAGCTAGTAATGGATGAAGAAGTGTATTCAGCAATGTTTCATTTTCTAACTACCTTAGCTTGGCAAATATTTTTGATGTGCTTCTGTTTGGGGTGGCTTTACTGTTTCTGCTTTGTTTCGTGCAATTATTGCGCTTTAATCGTTGACGTAATATAGAAAACTAGCGACCCGCCCTAGCTTCGCTTCGGAAACTGTAATTTATTATTGATTTCTCCACTACTTAATGTATGTTATTATACATATAAACCTTCCTCTTCAATCACTATCTATTAAAAAAATCGCATCAAAATCCGTTGCGTAGTTTTAAAGATTTTTTCATACATATGGATATAGGGACAGAAAAAGCGACTCTGTTTTATACTATGTAGTGATATATACCTATAAAACGAAATTCTGGATGCTTCATTAAATAATGATTATTGTTTATAAAAAAAACCGACTGTGAAATAAATCGATTGACGATGGATAGTTCCACTGTCAAATATATCTTTCGAACAAAAATATTTTGCTATGAATTATGATGAAGATTTCGATGAATATAGTTAAAATATATATATACATATATGTATAGTCGAACATGGATAATAATAATGGATTATTTTTGTTATTTGATTTTCGAAAAACTATAAATTTTTTTAAGTAGGTAATGGTAAGAAACTATCTGAATGTTCTCGGATTCTTAACGCCTTTCTGGTTCTTTTTTTTAAAATAATCACGTTTCAGGTTTGAAGATTAGGTCTGTATCATCTGTACCTATGCAATGGAAATTTTATTCTTATATTTCACACTGACAATCTCATCTATTGACTCCGGTAGCTGGCTAACAACAGACGGACTGCCAGTTTGTCGGTTCGTTTATATTTTGAAACTTCAAAAACACTCACGTGCCAAATATCCAGATAACAATTCCGTTTCCGACGAGTGATGTAACCATCAGCATTGCGTATATTAAAGCCAAGCAATAGTGCCAATATTTGCTGACGGCTGGAAAGTTCCTCCAGTGCTCGTGAACCAGGTCTTGATGTTCTTCTGGAATGTTCCAGCCAAGCATATGTTCTACCATCTCTCTAGAAACCCTAAAATTGGAAAAAGAACGATTTTGCTGCATTTTGAAGCTATTGTCGTGCCTAGAGTCTCACAAGTTTGTTGTAGAGGTAAATATGGCTTTCCGAGTAGGTATAGGTTCTATATATGTATTTAATAAAATTAATTAAGAAATGGTCACTACAAAAAAAGTAATATAGGGCGTAAGTATGTACTTACATTTTCAGAGGGTAGGCCATTGGTCCGATGTCGCTTATTTCTTGCGTGAAATTTAACGCCATTTTGTGTGTTTGATGGTGAACAAAATGGCGAACGAATGTAGGAGTTTATTCAAATTACTATTAACATAGGATAAAATTGTTATTTGTTTGAAATAAACTGTATTTATGACGAAGTGAGTAGTCCGACTACAAGTCGCTTCTCACTTGTGTCTGATGAGCCGTGGGGAAACACTTTTATATCATTTCATGCCGTGCGTGTCTGTTAATTCCTTAATTCAATAAATAGTAAAGCTTCTAATACATTTGGCCAAGCGTGAATCAAATCGCGGCCTGGAGTTCTCAATCTGTTGCAATTTATTTGTTATAGCTACTAATATTTATTATATCTTTATCTATATATATAAAAATGAATTGCTGTTCGTTAGTCTCGCTATAACTCGAGAACGGCTGGACCGATTTGGCTAATTTTGGCCTTGAATTATTTGTGGAAGTCCATAGAAGGTTTAAAAGTGAAATAAGTATGAAAATGCTCGGTATTAAATAAAAATAACAATTTTGTTTTTCCTTTGATGTGTCCCCCGTCGGACGGATTCCTTTTGTTTATTTTATACAAAAATTTAGGTCTTTTATTTATCGATTGAGGCACTACGAAGTCTGCCGGGTCAGCTAGTATATAATATATTTCTTCTGTGCGTGTGTTCGTCACTGAACTCCTCCTAAACGGCTGAACCGATTTGAATGATTTTTTTTGTATGCATTTGGGTGGCACCCTGGATGATTTAGATTTACAAATCAGCCCGGCAGATGGCGCTGCAGTCAGTATCTAGGTTATTTATCTATACTACAACAAAGCGGCTGGATCGACTTGAATGAATTTTTGCAGAGAACGTCTGTTGGGTCCGCTAGTTAATTTATATTAATTAAACTTGACATATCTGTCACTTATTTTAAAAATAATAATTCGGCTTAGTGTCGCTTATTTTATTCGCTGTAAAGCAAAAGCCATATGGAGCGGGACAACATAGAGCTTAATGATGGTTATACGCAATTAGAAGGGATTTAGCCAACTTTACACTTAGTTTTATTTGGTTATGTTTTTTTTTTTAAATTCGTTGCCTAACTAGAGAACTACGTAGCTTAAGACTCTCAACAACTTGCAATAAGTGATCCTAAGCTTCCAAGGAGAGGCTCTGACGTGCCTGGAATGCGTCCTTACTGAGTAACCTCTAGTTCAACGACTCGAAGAATGGCCGGGATGAAAATATGAGAACGGGAGCTATGATTTATGTTAGCGTGGTCAGTGGGTCAACGAATATCGGTCATTTAAGGCCTGTATTTCAAGAGCTGATAAAAATTGCGTTGACATTTTCCTTTCCTCAGCACCCAGCATTTTAAGTGATCAATCGCTGTTTCAGGGTTGCTCGTATTTTTATGAAATTGCAAACGTGGAACATTGTAAATTAATTTCTTGATTTTTCTTCGAACGCTAAAAAAGAAGTTTTGATATTGTCTTTGTCTAAGCCTCATCAAATTTTTAACACAATTAATTTAGTTTTAGAAGAGTATTTTGAAGGTATATTTTAAGCAATTTTCTGTCAAGTATAGTGGGTTTGGTAGGACCGGACATTATGTCGCATGTTGAGGGAGACCTATGTCCAGTAGTGGACATCTGTGGGCTGATAATGATGAAATCAAGTATTTTATATACGGACTTAAAGAATTTGTTTGATGTATGATAGGAAGCGATGAAATACTTATAAGCAATCGCAGGGCGCTCTGTGAGCTGTTGTGGCATAGAGAGAATATATTGCGACCTACTGGCGCCAGGGTATTGTCTACGAAGCCCAACAGTCTATGCTCAGACAGAAATTGTATTTTTCTATAAAATATACCGCTTTTTCTACAAGGTTAATACCATGGATTCACTCGTGGCCGCTTAGTATAGAGGTTACTAAATTTTACTAAGGTTTAGTAAAGATTACTAAAGTTATTAAAACACGTAATAAAATTTTATTTATTAAAGCGAGGTCACAGCGTACATTGGATAGGTGCTTATTTAGTATTACAATCTTATGATAAACTAGCTTTTGCCCGCGACGCCGTTCGCGTGGAATAGTTACTTTGGCATAACGTTAAATTTTACCTCCACTTCATTTACGTAGAAAGTGAAAATATTTTTGAATTATATAATGTTAAGGAGCTATTTAAATCCCTATTTTGAAACATTCTTTATTGGTGCTCCACTTGTATTGGCCTTACCATGATGTTATATAGCCTTTAGCCTTCCTCGATAAATGGGTTATCTAACAGTGAAATAATTTTTAAAATCGGACCAAGTAGTTCCTGAGATTAGCGCGTTCAAACAAACAAACTCTTCAGCTTTATAATATTAGTATAGAAGTATAGATAAGACTTTGTAAATTAGAAGAAGAATAGAAGTGATGTGATATATAAAGTTACACATTAAGTTCGGTTAAATGTTTATTCCAAAATCTTTCAAAGGAAAAGTAATTAGGAAAGAATTTGAAAAATACATACAAAAGACACGACCACACATAGATATCAATGTGGTGTTTTGCCAGCTGTAATATTTACTTATATATAAGTACATACTTTTAAAACTTTGTTTTGATGAATAATATATATACAAACTTGAAAACCTCTCAAACAAACAACATCCAACTTGGTTGAAACACCTGCCTGGGTTCGAATTAATCTGACTTTGATTCGATCTTCACTTTTCCAGTTATTACGTTCTGTTTGCGCAAGGTTGATTTGCGTTTTAAATTATCTAGTAGATTGGATGAATTTCGAAATTGAGTTTAATTAAGTTTGGATTTATATTATTTACTAAAAATTAAGCCGGAACGAATTATTGCTTAGCGGCAGAAAATAACCAGGCGTGCCTACTCGTGTGGGTTTGTAATACGCCTTCACCAATAATAAACTTCTGAGAACAAATACGGTTTTCTGAAATACATAATAATGTAGGGAGTAAACCGAAGTGTGCTCATGATTGTATACATTCTTTAAAAAAATTTGAAAGGCGGACGGACGGCTCCAATGAAACTTGTTATGCTGAAGAGGAGTGTGGTCATTGTAATTAATGCCTTAAGCGTCATTTGTACCTTAAGCGAGCTAATGTACAGCAGAAGAAAGGTGATGATAATGCATAGAACGCTCTATCAGAATATATGAAATATTATGTAAGTAAATATTTAATTTTAGGCATTCACGAGAGATGGACTCACAATGAAATAAAATAGAAATCAATCATTCACAAACTAATCTTGTGGCTATTTACTTAAACCCAAGTTTCGCAATTATTCTTAAGTTTTGTTTGTACTACTGGTAGTATTGGGAGCCCGAACCTTTAGGTCGATTTCTCACAGAGCCGTCATGCGTTTTAATTAGAAGATCGGGACAGTAGTAGTATGCCATACAATTGACTTCCGCCTCTGATTCTATGGGCGCAATAAATAAAAAACCAAGATTAAGATACGAAGCGAACGTGTCCATTTTATTGTAAAAATATTTTAGAGCCATGAAAAAGAGTGCTACGGAGTCTGTTTTTTTCCATCTGGCAATCGGTAGCTTATGATAGCATTTTTGTCAGTACCATGACATGGGGTAAATTGGGATCCTGGGGTAAATTGGGACAAACCTGCGGAAGATTCTCAAAGTACCTGTAGCACGGAATCTACCTAATTTTGTTTATGTTAATATTTATCAATGTATAGAAGAAAAACCAAGCTAACTATGGAAGTACTAAATATGAGTTAAGTTGGTCCCAAAAATTCGTCAAATTAAATTGAAAATAGTGGTTGAAAAGTGCGTTTTAAAACAGCTTAAAGAACTTTTAAAAAAAGTAATATTATCGTTGTTTTTTCAATAAGATCACAGTTTATATAAGTTTTTAATACACCTGGAAATACCACAACAAACGGTAAGTTGCAATATTCTTATTTTAAATACAATATTTCGACAAAATAAAAAATGTATATTTTTTCCTTTCTTTTTGGGGAAAATTGGGACGTATGTAGGGTAATTGGGAACGAGACTGGAAAAATTAGGGACGAGAAAACACAAAATTGGAACGCCAAAAGACAAAATAGGGATGGCTTGTTAGGGTTGTCACTGATATCTTATAATAGATTTTTTAGCCTATACTATCACTTAATTGCGTGATGTAAAGAAGGTTAATGTGTTTATCAGTTAGTTTATGTAAGTATTATAGGTAAAAGAAAAGTATATATATAATTACTTTTTTTTCGCGACATTTACCTTGTAATATCTGCCCGGTCGTATGTTCTTTATAGCAATAAAAAAAATTAAAAGTTAAAAGAACTCAAACGAATCAAAACTTTTGTTATTTCAGAATCTATTCACGCGTCGAATCATGATTTTGTTAACATTCAAAACGCACACACAAATAAAAACAGGCCTCAGATTTTAAATGTAACATTAATTAAAAATCCGAGATATCCAATTATGAGTGAGTGAATTAATTGAGTTTAGTTATTTAGCTTAGAAAGAATTTCTTTTATTTTTGTTATTATTGGCAGTAATCAGATAAAGCTGTTTTTTTATCTTATTCACCTGATATCTTACTCTTGCTCAAAGATTATTTTGAAAATGTTGATTAAATAAAATTGTATTATTGCATTTCCAGTCCTTTTGTTTTCTATTTTTTATTCTATTTTATCATTTTGTTTCAGAGTTGTGATTTTTAAGGAAATTAAATAATAATTTTCTAAAATATAACATGCACATACTTTTTTTGATCATTGTATTGTTGATTATCATTCACGTCACATCGCTTCGGAATAGAAACCAGCTTAATTTACACTATGTTGTGTATTGTGCTTAAATTATGGATTGTATTCATCATTTCGGTCCATATAAATAATTATATGGCACCTACCTATATATCGCAGTACTGCGAGTTGACAACCCTTACAAATATCCCAATTTAACCCTTAACCGTGTCAATTTACCCCGGACGCTGGGTAAATTGGGACGGCCATTATTTTACCCATTATTTCTTTAAAATGAATAAT